CGGGGCTTTCCTGATAACTTTCCGCATGCCGCCCTCTTTATTTTACTAACTTACTGCATGCTGCAGGTGACCCCGCTGACCTCACCAGAAAAAACTCAACACCACCATCTAGTGGATTGTAAAGAAATTGATTTTATTATTCTACCAAATAGTATAATAAAAGATCGATACTTGGCGTCCGAGTATCGATACAGTAATGCCGCGGAAATTATCGCGATACTATGCTGTATCAATTTTTTCTACTAAAACGCTGTCGTAAAATACTCTTTTCCCCACAAATTATTATTTTTTGCAAATTCCATGTTTAAAAATCAAAAATAGTGTCTAATCAATTGAATTCAGAAAACTTTAGCAATTTAATGTCATTCTTACAATAATACGGCCCTATGAAATGTTTTATATTTTTTTAGAAATTGTTGTCTTTTTAAAATTTTTCTGGATTTATGATTTAATATAAAATTATCAAAATTGGTGGTAATCATATAAAGACATAAAACATTAACAATTTAATATCTTTAACCATTTAATTTAAAATCTTTTAAAATGTAATCAAATGCACGTATGCATGCACTTAAAATTAAAACACGGGATAAAAATTGTGTGATTTTTCCCTAAAATTAAATGTTGTGCTGAAGCAAGGAAAAAAATCTGGAATGGATTCATAGTTCATTGTTTCGGCTTCCACCACAAACGTTGCAGTGCGACTCTGTTTTTGCTCAGAATGAATGAAAACCAGCTTTTACATCTTGAACGTCTTTGCAAACGTATTTAGATGAGCTTCTAATGTTGTTTCTGTGTTTTTTCTCAGATCCTGATGTAAGGAAGCTCTCCGTCGACGTGGCCTTATCTTCCCGTTCTTGTTCCAGAGTCCACACACACACATACACACACATTCGTGATTTATATACTATAAACAGATGTGTTGAAGACACGCACACACACACACACACAGTAACTTCCCGAGCTGCTCGTTGGGCTCGTGATCATGGACCATCGGTGGAAACAGCGTCTGCGAGCTCGGACCGTCCTGCTGTTTGATGCTGTGATGTTAGATTTACAGTGTGCTGTTCTATAGCACACACACACACACACACACACACACACACACACACACACACACACACACGAGCAAGCACACGC